CAGCCTCTCTGTCTTTTCCCTACTCTGTATTTTTTTCTTCTTCCTCGCTAGCTATCTCTGTCTGTGTGGCACCAATTTGTGGAATGCTTTTTGTTGCTATACACAGGGAAAATAGGGATTTAAGCTCTAGAATACCTGATATAAAATGTATATACAAATTTGTTTACTTTTAATTTAATGTTTCATATAAATCCTAACAAATTCGTAGGATTCTACATATTTTTGAAAGATGTTTTAAAAAGATATAGGGATAGGTTTCTCCAGAGGTCTGAAGAAAGGCAAAATATATAATAATGTAATATCAACGGTTTAAAAACAAATCCCAAAACCATTTGAATTTGAAATCATTAAAGAAGGTGGCCTAAAAGCGGGCTACAAAATCGTTCAAGGACTTTATAGTACCCAACAGTACACTTTAGACACATTTTCAATTGATTTGAACCTTTGAAATATCTTGGAAAAGACTTATTTTTCCAGATCCTAACAATACAAAAGTTCTTTCAGTGCATCTATAGCCTGACCAGCTTCTTCTTTTAGCCGCTCCCCCGAAGCGTGAACGAGTGGAGTTTTGGCAAGTCTTTCCCTTCCGAACGTGCAAATTGCATGCTGTGCGAGTTAATGGCGTTTCGCACAGGGATTTTTCGGATGGGGGTGTGGTGTGGAAACGGGTATGGGAATGGGTGTTGATGCTAACGAGTTGAGAGAAAATAAAGTTCATGACTTCATTTTTTTCCCTCTTATTCTTTGGCATTTTATTTGGTCGGGCACGTCTTCTGGGTTTCGTGATGGTTTATATCGCACACACACTCTCTCCACACAACACAAAAAATATAAATAAATAAATGGAAGGAAAAGAAAATCGAGCTTGGGGTTGGAACAGCCATATCCATCTGCATAATATTTAAATGCTCCATTCCATCAAGCAAATGGAAAGATCGTCGCGAACCGCCCATTGTAATATAATGTTGAAGATTTTAAATAAAACATGAGGCCTGCCAGGAGCGAAACAATGGCAAAATGCTCTTTCTCTCTCTCACTCGGCCCCTTTTCGGGCACAATTGCAATTTCCACTTTTGGCTTCGACGACTGGGCCCAGGCCCATCCACAGCTGCATCCACAGAGTGTTCTACCACACGGAGCTCCTCCTCCTCCTATCCAGCATTTTGTTTTGAGTCGCGTCGAGTTGATGATGTTTGCCCGATAAGTGGGCAAAGGATTGGACTTGGACTGGAGCTCAAGTTGAGGCTGCAGACCTGGAACCCGGCTCTGGGCAATTTTCAACGAGCTGGGATGGGCTGATGATGATCTGAGCAGCAGATGCTGTTTGTTGCCTTTCCGGGTCCGGGTCCACAGATTTTGTTTTTTAGGCATAAATTTTAATGCAATCATGAGACTGGCAGGAAGGCAGGCAGGCCTTCCCTGTTTGGGGCTCGTTTATAATTTTTACAACACTCTTGATGATTTTATATAATTTTTGTGATTTCATATTACAGAGTAGAACTAAAATCTCGTCCCTAAAAGTTGTAACTTGTCTAATAATCTAACACTCTAGGCCTTGTTGTATAAACTCTTTTCAATTCATAAAACTTCACAAAAGCTCCCCAGGGATAATGAAATCAGTTTAGGAGGTGTAAAGTTGCCTTTACCATGTAAAATATAGAGTTATAACTTTTGAGGGGAATGGAAATCTGTTGATTGTTGATTGAAACAATCATTAAAGTCTAGAAAATCATACCTAGTGAGAGAACAAATCTACATATGACTAGTAATTACCCATAAAGTCTCTCTAAAAAAAAGCATATAATTTGGTATCCAAAAGATTAAAGTTCTGGTGTTGATGCTGGGCTGTTGCTCTTTCAGTTTTCTCATAGCTTTAATGCTGTTTTGGCCAACTGACGGCTGCTGGTGGCTGGCAGCTTGTTACTGCCTCGACGAACTCTGATGAGGATGTGGACGTGGATGTGGATGCGGATGCAGCCAGTCATGTTTATGTTTAACTTTTTAAATGTTAATGCTGCGATGCCGTTGCCTTGCCATGGCGAGCCGGGTTTTAATGCATTTTAAGTTGCTGTTGCCGGTTCTGTGCGGTGCGCTCCGTTGGACAGGCCATCAAAATTCGCCATGCTGCTGGCTACTCGCAATTTTTCATGCACATTATCGCGGCCAGGACAAGTCGATTTCCATTTTGGTGTACGTCGTAGTCGTTGATTTTTTCTACCTTTCCTCTCCTCATCTCTCTGTTGTTTTTTTTTTTTGTACGAAGATTATTTAGCATTTTTCCCGCATCCGTCGCCGGTTCATACGATTTGTGGTTTGTTGATTTTTCCCATTCAACGCTCCATCGCTTGCTTGTCCCCGGCTCTTGGGCCCCTTGGCCTGTCAGCAACATAATCATTATGGCCAACTCTCAGCCGTTTTAGTTGGTGCTGGGGCCATCGCAACGTATTTATTTTAACGTTAATGGCCAGTTGTCATATCGAGTGAGCGGACAGGCACCGGCAACCCAGCAGCCACCTCCTCCTCCTCTTCGTCGTTACGGAGCACGCGGCGATTACATTTTAAGTAGGTGTGTGAACATTTTCGTGTCAGTGGTTTTTGGTTTTAATTTAAAGCTGTCACGGATGCTGGAACGGGGTGCGCAACCAGGGATATATAGCACTATGTATTTAAGAGGAAATATATATTTAGGGACAACTTCATATTAGGAAGTTACCTCATAAATACCTCAAAGGATATACAAGTTTCCTTAATTTCAACATAGTTTTAAACAAGATCTCTGGCAACAAAGTAAAAACAAAACCAAAGACATGAATATAAAAAAAAGCTATCTTTAGGAGCCATGAAAAGGTTCTACAATTTCGGTTGGGTTCTCTGGTTGCGGCCAGGTTTCTGTCCTCGTCCTCGTCCTTGATGGCCATTAACAATTTGGCAAGAACTGCAAACGCGAAAAAAGTGTAGAGGAAACAAGAAACCCAACTTCATCATCTCCATCACCATCATCATCAAGGTGATCATCGGTCCTGTGATTATTATTATCGTACGCAGGCAACCAAGCATATGTGTTAACTTGAAGTTAAGTGGATTCGCTGGAGGATTCTCCTCTCTTGCATTCATTCGCTTTCCTCCTTGTCGTGTTGATAATTTAAATGAGTGAACTCCTGCTGCTGCCTGCTGCTGCTGCTGGCTGGGATGCCTTGGTTGGTTTGGTTGGTTGGCTGCCTGGTTTGGTGGCTTGTTTGGATCCCTGACTTCATCCCGGGTCGAGTCTCCGGTATCTTCACATTTTTATCTCTCTACCTTTTTTTTCGTGAGCTTGTTGTTCTCATGTTTCCTTCGTGTTGTATGTAAAATGCACAGAGAGGAGCGGAGGGGGCGAACCAAAGTTTGTCCGCAACACATCTTAAATTTTCACAAAATTGCTTTCTTTCTTTGGCCTTTGTTCAGTTTTTGGTTTGGCTTTTTTTCTTCTTGGGTTGTTTGTATTTGTTCGAGGAGTTTTGCTTGAATAACTTTGGCTGGCTTTCGTGGCAGGTGCCCCTCCTCTTGCTCAGACTCCTCACACTACCCTTTGCTCCAGCTCCAGTTCTTCATCTTCCTCCTGTTGCGCAGTTTGTTGGCCATTAGGGCGGAACTGGCATGTCAACGCCTGATTGACGAAACAATGAATAAGTTGTAGATATTATGCAGCTGGGGGAACTGAGAGCCAGCAAGCTAAGTTGCAAATGCTTGGATACAGTCTCTAATTACAAAATGAAATATAGTCGTGTTGCCTCCAGACGAACTTCCTCTTGTCCTGGAAAATATAGATAGCTATTGATAACAATATAAACAGAGAGAGAATTTGAAATACCTTAAAATGTTAAATATTAACAAATCATAGAGCTCTTCTCGAGGGCCAACTGTAGTCCAAAAACCCAGGCAAGGCGAAACTAATGGGAAACTTTCAGGAGCACCAAGAGCACACCCTATCCCACTCCACCTCCACCTCTGTCGCCGCCACACTTGTTAACGCCTTTGGACTCGGTTGCTGGCTGCCAGCTCCATTTACTGGCTGGAATTGCATTTGCTGCCAACGTAGTTTCCCAAAGTAAAGTCGCCTGGCTCTTTTGGCTCCTTGCCCTCGGCGCTGTCCCTTCGTTTTGTCCCGCAATTTGCCATGGACATGGACATGGTCCCAGCTTGTCGTCTGTCGTTGTCGTCGTCGTCGGTTGTCTGGCGGCTTGAAGGTGCGAGTAATTGATAAAAAGCATGTTACATATATAATTTATTGAGCATTCAGCTGGCACTCGAGTCTCCAGAGCATGATGCATGATGTCGGGATGCTCCTGCTTCTGCTGCTGCTGCTGCTAAGATGTGTCTCGGACGCCTAATGGACGACAGTTGATAATAGCCACGTTCGTACATACAGTTGGCAGCAGTCCGGTTCCTCGTTCACTTTCCACTCGAGAAGTTGGTAACCTCAAGTAGCAGCCAGCTACTCGTGATTCTCATGCCGGATGCTCCTGTTCGGTTGGGTTATTTCGATGCTCCGCCAGCCACTTGAACTGCAGGCGGAGGCAACTCCACTTTAGATATGTGTCTGCCCCTGCCCCAACCACAGTGATATTCCTCTGCTTATTTATTTATGTTCAATTTGATTATGAATGCCATGCAGGATTCTGCTGGAGCATTTTTCCCGCAGTTCGGGTTCGCAACTGCGTTATGACAAAAGCTGGGCACATTGCTCCTTTCAATGCCATTTTAGTGCTGCTGCTGCTTCTCCGGTTGGCTTTTTTTTATTCTGCCTTCTGCTCTTGCACATTTAATTAAAAATTATTCATGAGCGAAATTAATTATGGAGCGTGGCAGTGAGACCCTACAAAGCACTGCAAGAAATTGCTGATAATGCTGAAATTAAAAACAAAACATTAGTGTTGGTCAGCGTTATAATTTAAATGAGTAGTCAGAGTTGGATTATCGATAATTATAATATGGTCCTACTGCCACTTGTCAATAAAATGGCACTGAAAGTTTAAAGCAAAACATGGCGCAGCCCACAAGTCATCAGGATGAGGGGGACTCCAACGATGAAAGCTCTCTTTTTCGATCACCGGAGGCGTCTGAAAATGACACCGATTATGGCCTGGAATTCTCTACAAGTCGTCTAATCTCTCAGAACGCCAACAATCGACGCTCCTCGACGCTGAGATCCGAGAGTAGCCACACAAACAGAAACGAGGAGCACCAGGAAGACCAGGATAATCGCCCCTCGACATCCAGGTCGCGGCAGACTCGCCAGAACTCGGGTAGAGGTGAAGCAGCAGGAGCATCGAGTCGAAGGAAGCAGCGCAATCCCGTGAGCAGGGCCAACAGGATGGATAGAGAGATCCGACGCCTGCGAGCTTGTACTGTGCCATTAATACCCCGGCTACCCTTTGCCCGATTGGTGCGGGAACTGATCATGAAGTATACCAATTCCCAGGTCAGGATCACCGAAAGCGCATTGGGAGTGCTGCAAGAGTCGTCGGAGCTCTACTTGACGCATCGCTTAGAGGACTCCTACATGCTCACCCGTCATCGTGGTCGAGTGACTTTGGAGCTACGCGACATGGTACTAATGGCCTACATAATGGACATTACACATAACCGATCTTAGATTTGTATAAATAGTACCTTTTAAAGTATAGTGATCTCCCTATTTATGCTTTTAATAAACCTACTCACAGGTAATAAGCGAATATTAAGGAGTCCCTCCATTTCTCCGAGTGTAACTCGGTGAACTCTGCCCGTAGCCAACAACAAGTACAACAATGAGAGCGCATGCAAAATGTGAGCAGCAAAAACTACAGCCATTGGTTGGAGCAGCAGCAGCATCAAGGAGGAGGAGAAGAAGCAGCAGAAGCAGAAGGACCATGAGCAGCATACGGATGCTGGAAGCCAGCTTTCCTGGCTGCCAACTGGTGAACTGTTGTGCTATTCTACCGGCTGGTAGCTGCCTATTTAGCCCGGCCAGAAGCTCTTCAACACATTTAAATAGCTGCAACTTCCGTTGCAACTAGTGCGACGAAGAGCGAGACAGCGTTGGGGCGGAGGACTCGAGTGTTGCCAGTGTTGGGCACGAATGGAGGGAGCGGAGTGGCAACATCCTGGATGCCAGTGCTCACTTAAAGTTTTCTGCACCCACCATCCATCCATCCCATTCATCCCATCCACCACCGGATTCGTAACGTTTCCCCTGCCCTTCCCGCTCCAGTTGGCTAACAATAACAGCACTTGCACTCATTTAGCATTTAAGTGCAGTTGTTGCTGGCAGTGACGAGGTCCTGGTCGTGGGCCAGGTCGGCCTGCTCCGTGGCGTTGAAATTGTCGACTCGGTCATCCGAATTATGCCATTTTGCCACAAGCTACGGGCGAGAGGAAGTGGCAGCCAGGAGACCAGAACCCCATTAACCACCACCCAACCAAACCGAAACCGAAACCGATGCCACCCAGTGCCAATCGTCAAGCCGCATCATCATTCACATGCGCATCCGTTGCCCATTTCTATACCCTCGGCTACGGTTGCAGCTCCCACCCAGCCCACTCCCAGCTCCCATCTCTCCCACTGCAGCAGGAGCTGGGAGAGGCCTGGCCTCTTGTACCGGCCCAGCCCAGCCCAGACCGACCCCAGTTGTATACATTAATAATTAAAATATTTTCCCAAGTTTGAATGAAGTGCAGGCAGGAGGAATCAACGGGTTACGCCACGGTTCCATCTCTGGCTTCGTCTGCATTTCAATTTCGGTCGAGTGTGTGTGTGCTTACACTGAGGGAAAAGTGTTATAAATAGAAAAGAGAAGAAGATGAGGTTTTAGTAAGATTTATCGGAAATTTTCACCTTGGGAATTTAAAATATATATCACAAATACCATTGTGTATTATTTGGAGATTAAAATGTTTTCGCTTGGGTGACATTAATATGTCAAGAAATATGAATTATAACATTATCAGGAGACTTGGAAATGTCTCTGGAGAGTATTTAAATAATACATTGCTCATTTACTCAAGAGTATTTGATTAATCTACTGTTACTGTTTTAAAATACTGCTTTATTGATGTTTTAACTACGCTGTTCTACATTTATTTGTATTTTGTTTGCCTTTAGGGATCTTGAAGTTCATAAGGTCAGTGGTATATTCCTTATGTACAAGCTCTGGGGGAAATATATCTATAACATACGATTATGAACTATTTTAATATCAGTGTAGAGGAAACCCACTGAGATGGTTTCTCGGGTGACTCCCCTTCTTGGCTCCGGTACTCGACTTGATGAGCATGTCTGCTGATGTTGTTTTTGTTGCTGCTCATGATGCTGTTTTGGTTCTTGTTTTTGTTTTTGTTTTTGTTGGTAATGATGTTGATTTCTTAACGCTTCACTGCCGTCTGCGGAGGAGCATAAAAAATATGAATAATATACAAGGATTTGCAGTTAAGTGCTGCATCCTCCAACCAACCCACCAAGCCATACAGCAAAGTCATTCCCCAGCATTCGTATACGTATTCCCATTGTCAGCATCCAGGGATTACGCTGCACAATATAGACGAACGTATGGCTATATATTGGATTGCGGCATTAGTAGCACTATTATCGAACCAACATTTTCCCGTAGAGCTAAGCTGGGCAAGCATTTAACCCCTCATGCCTGTGGCATATGGCCTCCGGGTGGGATGTATGTAAATATTGTTGAATTTGCACACTTGGCACATAAATCCTGTTGCTGCCAACCAGCCAGGCAGCCAGGTGAAAACCATGGCTTATATGGCCAGGGAAACCCACCCACTTTGCAAAATGTCACCATTTCTCTGTTCTGCTTGCTCTCTCCCGGTCTTGATGGATTACTCGAGAGCCAGCTCCGGCCCCGGCTGCATAAATATTGCAAATGCCTGTCGCGCTGACAGCATGCTGGGGGATAAGGATTCGTCTCCATCACCTCCTCCTTCTAACGTTTCCTTGTGGGTCAGCATTTTGCCACGAAAAGTGGAGCTCACTTCAAAATAGCACTGGAAAAATGCTTAAAATTTGGAAAAGTATTTCAATTTAGCGAGATATTCTTGATACAATATGGCTTATATACATTTTAAGCAAGGAATTGAATGAAAATGTTCTATGCTAGCTATACCTATCTCTAAAATTATGTTAAAATACTTTACTAAATTTAATAGAAACAACTTTAAAGGTATTTGCAGTGACTGTTACCTTGTAAGTAAACGTATAAAATTTGTTCCACCTGGCGCGCCTCCGTGCGCTTATTCATACGCAATTAGATCAGCGTTGGCAGCTGCTGGTTGCTGCAGCTCGCAGCTCGGAGCTTGGAGCTTATGGTGGCCTCCATATCCATCATCATCCACCCACGTGTACAAGTGCACATGCATATGCACATGCAAATGCACATAAATGGTTAACAAAAGAGACCTGGCCAAGTTGTTTTAGCTGCTGCTGCTGCTGCCTGGGCGTAGTTGCGAATTCATTTAGCATTCGCCATTTACTACTGCCACAATACCAGCCTTCACTCTCTTAGCCCTGCCTGCTGCCATATTGTTAACCACTCGAGCTTGGGGGTACATTGTTGCTTATTTAATTCTTGATGGATGGATGCTGATGGCATTTGGTAATTAGAAACGTCAATCCTGCTGGGTTTCCTAAACGAAGAAATGTTCAGATTGCGTCTGACTCTAAAGAAAATATAAGATCCAAAGGAAGAAGAGAATAAAGTCATAATCAAAGTTGGAATACAATTTCCCAAATAGTAGAGAGTATGGCATACTACCTATCTATGTTAATTACGTATTTCTTAAACCCTTTTTTTTTTCTTTTCTATTTCCAGTCCATGCACCCAGCTCCTCATCCCTGATAGCCAATACACCAGCCAGTGCATTTGTCAATACGCCGGCCACCCTGCTCTTCACCACCCGCCATGACATTCAGGTGGCGAATATCACCAGACCCACTGGAGGACCACAGATCGATGTGATTGTTCGGGATCTGGCCGAGGCCATGGCCATTGATTTTTACTATGCCAAGAACCTGGTCTGCTGGACGGATTGCGGCCGGGAGATCATCGAGTGTGCCCATACCAACACATCGGCGCTGCAGCCACTTTTGCGGGCGCCCAAGCAAACTGTGATATCGACGGGTCTGGACAAGCCCGAGGGTTTGGCCATTGACTGGTATACGGACAAGATCTACTGGACGGATGGCGAGAAGAATCGAATTGAGGTGGCCACGCTGGATGGTCGGTATCAGAAGGTGCTGTTCTGGACGGATCTGGATCAGCCGCGAGCGGTGGCTGTTGTGCCAGCCCGGAAATTGCTTATCTGGACGGACTGGGGAGAGTATCCGAAGATTGAACGTGCCAGCATGGATGGGGATCCACTGTCGCGAATGACTCTGGTCAAGGATCATGTGTTCTGGCCCAATGGCCTGGCCGTGGATCTGAAGAACGAGCTCATCTACTGGACGGATGGCAAGCATCACTTTATTGATGTGATGCGGCTAGATGGGAGCAGTCGGCGGACGATAGTCAATAATTTAAAGTATCCGTTCAGTCTTACCTTCTACGATGATCGCCTGTACTGGACAGATTGGCAACGTGGCTCGCTAAATGCTCTGGACTTGCAGACCCGTGAGCTTAAAGAGCTGATAGACACACCCAAGGCCCCAAATTCCGTGCGAGCTTGGGATCCTTCACTGCAACCCTACGAAGATAATCCCTGTGCCCATAACAATGGCAACTGCTCGCATCTCTGCCTGCTGGCCACCAATTCGCAGGGATTCAGTTGCGCCTGTCCCACGGGTGTTAAGTTGGTTTTACCGAACGTCTGTGCCAATGGTTCCCAGGAGATGCTGTTCATTGTCCAGCGGACGCAGATTAGTAAGATATCCCTGGACTCACCGGACTACACGATATTCCCGTTGCCTCTGGGCAAGGTGAGGTATGCCATAGCCATTGACTATGATCCCGTGGAGGAGCACATTTACTGGTCCGATGTGGAGACTTTTACGATCAAGAGGGCGCATGCCGATGGCACAGCGGTGATGGACTTTGTCACCTCCGAGGTTCGTCATCCCGACGGACTGGCACTGGACTGGCTGGCACGAAATCTCTACTGGACTGACACTTCAACAGATCGGATAGAGGTCTGCCGTTTGGATGGTTCAGCACGCAAGGTCCTGATCTATGAGCATCTGGAGGAGCCGAGAGCCATTGCGGTGGCCCCCTCACTGGGTTGGATGTTCTGGAGCGACTGGAACGAGCGCAAGCCAAAGGTGGAGCGAGCCTCTCTGGACGGTTCGGAGCGCGTGGTCCTGGTATCCGAGAATCTCGGCTGGCCCAATGGCATTGCCCTGGACATTGAAGCGAAAGCAATCTATTGGTGCGACGGCAAGACGGACAAGATTGAGGTGGCCAACATGGATGGTTCCGGACGCCGAGTCGTGATCAGTGACAACCTGAAGCATCTCTTCGGACTGAGCATCCTCGATGATTACTTGTACTGGACGGATTGGCAGCGTCGCTCCATTGACCGGGCGCACAAGATCACGGGTAACAACCGCATCGTGGTTGTCGATCAGTATCCGGATCTGATGGGCCTGAAAGTCACACGCCTGAGAGAGGTCAGAGGTCAGAATGCCTGCGCGGTAAGGAA